GGTCCTTCCCCCCCCTCACTGTGGTTGGGTCCTCCCCCCCTCACTGTGGTTGGGTCCTCCCCCCTCACTGTGGTTGGGTCCTCCCCCCCCTCACTGTGGTTGGGTCCTCCCCCCCCCTCACTGTGGTTGGGTCCCCCCCTCACTGTGGTTGGGTCCTCCCCCCCCTCACTGTGGTTGGGTCCCCCCCCTCACTGTGGTTGGGTCCTCCCCCCCTCACTGTGGTTGGGTCCTCCCCCCCTCCCCCCCTCACTGTGGTTGGGTCCTCCCCCCCTCACTGTGGTTGGGTCCTCCCCCCCTCACTGTGGTTGGGTCCTCCCCCCCTCACTGTGGTTGGGACCTTCCCACCCCCCTCACTGTGGTTGGGTCTTCCCCCCTCACTGTGGTTGGGTCCTCCCCCCCTCACTGTGGTTGGGTCCTTCCCCCCCTCACTGTGGTTGGGTCCCCCCCCTCACTGTGGTTGGGTCCTCCCCCCCCCTCACTGTGGTTGGGTCCTCCCCCCCTCTCACTGTGGTTGGGTCCTCCCCCCTCACTGTGGTTGGGTCCTCCCCCCTCACTGTGGTTGGGTCCTCCCCCCCTCACTGTGGTTGGGTCCTCCCCCCCTCACTGTGGTTAGGTCCTTCCCCCTCTCACTGTGGTTGGGTCCTCCCCCCTCTCACTGTGGTTGGGTTGGTTGGGTCCTCCCCCCTCCCCCCCTCACTGTGGTTGGGTCCTCCCCCCCTCACTGTGGTTGGGTCCTCCCCCCTCACTGTGGTTGGGTCCTCCCCCCCTCACTGTGGTTGGGTCCTCCCCCCTCACTGTGGTTGGGTCCTTCTCCCCCCTCACTGTGGTTGGGTCCCCCCCTCACTGTGGTTGGTCCTCCTCCCCCTCCCCCCCTCACTGTGGTTGGGTCCTTCTCCCCCCCTCACTGTGGTTGGGTCCTCCCCCCCTCACTGTGGTTGGGTCCTCCCCCCCTCACCCCCTCACTGTGGGTCCTCCTCCCCCCCTCACTGTGGTTGGGTCCTTCCCCCCTCACCCCCCCCTCACTGTGGTTGGGTCTTCCCCCCCCTCACTGTGGTTGGGTCCTCCCCCCCTCACTGTGGTTGGGTCCTCCCCCCCTCACTGTGGTTGGGTCCTCCCCCCCCCCCCTCACTGTGGTTGGGTCCTCCCCCCCTCACTGTGGTTGGGTCCTCCCCCCTCACTGTGGTTGGGTCCTCCCCCCCTCACTGTGGTTGGGTCCTCCCCTCCCTCACTGTGGTTGGGTCCTCCCCCCCTCACTGTGGTTGGGTCCTTCCCCCTCTCACTGTGGTTGGGTCCTCCCCCTCTCACTGTGGTTGGGTCCTCCCCCCCTCACTGTGGTTGGGTCCTCCCCCCCTCACTGTGGTTGGGTCCTGGGTCCTCCCCCCCTCACTGTGGTTGGGTCCTCCCCCCCTCACTGTGGTTGGGTCCTCCCCCCCCTCACTGTGGTTGGGTCCCCCCCTCACCCCTCCCTCACTGTGGTTGGGTCCTCTCCCCCCTCACTGTGGTTGGGTCCCCCCCCCTCACTGTGGTTGGGTCCCCCCCTCACTGTGGTTGGGTCCCCCCTCACTGTGGTTGGGTCGTTCTCCCCCTCTCACTGTGGTTGGGTCCTCCCTCCCACCACTGTGGTTGGGTCCTGCCCCCCTCACTGTGGTTGGGTCCCCCCTCACTGTGGTTGGGTCCTCCCCCCCCTCACTGTGGTTGGGTCCTCCCCCCACCACTGTGGTTTGGTCCTGCCCCCACACTGTGGTTGGGTCCCCCCCTCACTGTGGTTGGGTCCTCCCCCCCTCACTGTGGTTGGGTCCTCCTCCCCCCTCACTGTGGTTGGGTCCTCCCCCCCTCACTGTGGTTGGGTCCTTCTCCCCCCTCACTGTGGTTGGGTCCTCCCCCCTCACTGTGGTTGGGTCCCCCCCCCTCACTGTGGTTGGGTCCATCCCCCCCTCACTGTGGTTGGGTCCCCCCCCCCCTCACTGTGGTTGGGTCCTCCCCCCTTACTGTGGTTGGATCCCCCCCTCACCGTGGTTGGGTCCTTCCCCCCTCACTGTGGTTGGGTCCTCCCCCCTCACTGTGGTTGGGTCCTCCCCCTCACTGTGGTTGGGTCCTTCCAACCCCCCTCACTGTGGTTGGGTCCGCCCCTCCTCACTGTGGTTGGGTCCCCCCCCTCATGTGGTTGGGTCCTCCCCCCCCCTCACTGTGGTTGGGTCCTCCCCCCTCACTGTGGTTGGGTCCTCCCCCTCACTGTGGTTGGGTCCTTCTCACCCCCCTCACTGTGGTTGGGTCCTCCCCTTCTCACTGTGGTTGGGTCCTTCCCACCCCCCTCACTGTGGTTGGGTCCTCCCCCCCTCACTGTGGTTGGGTCCTCCCCCCCCTCACTGTGGTTGGGTCCCCCCTCCTTGTGGTTGGGTCCTTCTCCCCCTCACTGTGGTTGGGTCCTCCCCCCCTCACTGTGGTTGGGTCCTCCCCCCCTCACTGTGGTTGGATCCCCCCCCTCACTGTGGTTGGGTCCTTCCCCCCCTCACTGTGGTTGGGTCCTCTCCCCCTCACTGTGGTTGGGTCCTCCCCCCTCACAGTGGTTGGGTCCTTCCCCCCCTCACTGTGGTTGGGTCCTCCCCCCCTCACTGTGGTTGGGTCCTCACCCTCACTGTGGTTGGGTCCTCCCCCTCACTGTGGTTGGGTCCTTCCCACCCCCCTCACTGTGGTTGGGTCCTCCCCTTCTCACTGTGGTTGGGTCCTCCCCCACTCACTGTGGTTGGGTCCTCCCCCCTCACTCTGGTTGGGTCCTTCCCACCCCCCTCACTGTGGTTGGGTCCTTCCCCCCCCCCTCTCTGTGGTTGGGTCCTCCCCCCCTCACTGTGGTTGGGTCCTCCCCCCCTCACTGTAGTTGGGTCCCCCCCTCACAGTGGTTGGGTCCTTCTCCCCCCTCACTGTGGTTGGGTCCTCCCACCCTCACTGTGGTTGGGTCCTCCCCCCTCCTCACTATGGTTCGGTCCTTCCCCCCTCACTGTGGTTGGGTCCTTCCCCTCCTCACTGTGGTTGGGTCCTCCCCCCTCACTGTTATGGGTCCTTCCCACCCCCCTCACTGTGGTTGGGTCCTCCCCCTCTCACTGTGGTTGGGTCCTCCCCCCCCGCACTGTGGTTGGGTCCTCCCCCCCTCACTGTGGTTTGGTCCTTCCCCCCCCTCACTGTGGTTGGGTCCTTCCCCCCCTCACTGTGGTTGGGTCCTCCCCCCCCTCACTGTGGTTGGGTCCTCCCCCCTCACTGTGGTTGGGTCCGCCCCCCCTCACTGTGGTTGGGTCCTTCCCACCCCCCTCACTGTGGTTGGGTCCCCCCTCATGTGGTTGGGTCCTCCCCCCGCTCACTGTGGTTGGGTCCTCCCCCCTCACTGTGGTTGGATCCCCCCCCTCACTGTGGTTGGGTCCTTCCCCCCCTCACTGTGGTTGGGTCCTCCCCCCCTCACTGTGGTTGGGTCTTCCCCCCTCACTGTGGTTGTCTCCTCCCCTCTCACTGTGGTTTGGGACCTTCCCACCCCCCTCATTGTGGTTGGGTCTTCCCCCCTCACTGTGGTTGTCTCCTCCCCCCTCACTGTGGTTGGGTCCTCCCCCCACCACTGTGGTTGGGTCCTCCCCCCCTCACTGTGGTTGTGTCCTCCCCCCCTCACTGTGGTTGGGTCCTTCCCCCCACCACTGTGGTTGGGTCCTCCCCCCCTCACTGTGGTTGGGTCCTCCCCCCCCACGGTGGTTGGGTCCTCCCCCCCTGACTGTGGTTGGGTCCCCCTCTCACTGTGGTTGGGTCCCCCCCTCACTGTGGTTGGGTCCCCCCTCCCTCACTTTGGTTGGGTCCTTCTCCCCCTCTCTCTGTGGTTGGGTCCCCCCCTCACTGTGGTTGGGTCCTCCCCCCCCTCACTGTGGTTGGGTCCTCCCCCCCACTCACTGTGGTTGGGTCCTCCCCCCCCCCCCCTCACTCTGATTGGGTTCTTCCCCCCCCTAACTGTGGTTGGGTCCTCCCCCCCTCACTGTGGTTGGGTCCTCCCCCCCCTCACTCTGGTTGGGTCCTTCCCCCCTCACTGTGGTTGGGTTCTTCCCCCCCTCACTGTGGTTGGGTCCTCCCCCCCCTCACTATGGTTGGGTCCTCCCCCCCTCACTCACTGTGGTCCTCCCCCCCTCACTGTGGTTGGGTTCTCCCACCCACCACTGTGGTTGGGTCCTCCCCCCCTCACTCGGGTTGGGTTCGTCCCCCCCTCACTGTGGTTGGGTCCTCCCCCCCTCACTGTGGTTGGGTCCTCCCCCCCTCACTGTGGTTGGGTCCCCCCTCCCTCACTGGGGTCTCAAAGTGGTTAACTATTTTACTAGACACAACTGCATATTTGTCAGGTGACGGTCGTGACAAATAAGGACTGCATGTGTCCTTCGTACAGCAGGTGGTCGTCTGTGTGTATAACAAAATTTACTTTTTAAAATAATTTGGTCATTAAATGTGCACTAAGTTTAGTTCTGTTTTGTATACTAAATATAATCATAATTGTTGCCAGAAAATGAGAAAAATATTTTATTGTTGTAACAAAATAGTCGCGGATCTTAAGTAAAAGTTCCCCAATACTGTACATCATCTTGAGGTTATCTTGAGATGATTTCGGGGCTGTTTAGTGTCCCCGCGGCCCGGTCCCCGACCAGGCCTCCACCCCCAGGAAGCAGCCCGTGACAGCTGACTAACACCCAGGTTCCTATTTTACTGCTAGGTAACAGGGGCATAGGGTGAAAGAAACTTTGCCCATTGTTTCTCGCCGGCGCCTGGAATCGAACCCAGGACCACAGGATCATAAGTCCAGCGTGCTGTCCGCTCGGCCGACCGGCTCTCTCCCCCTCACTGTGCATCTCACTGTGCAAAACTGCATCATATGCAGTTTTGATTCCTTAAGAGTTTTGCCGTATTAACTTTGATATAAACAGCATTAGCCTATATTTTTTGTCTCGAAGAATTAATTTATTTATAAACTTGATGACTTTCAGTTGGGACTGACGGCTCGCTTCCATCAGCTTGATATTGATGCTTCTGAGAGTATTGCTGCTTTTGCTGATTACATCAAGAAGACATATGGTGGTTTAGATGTGCTTGTCAACAATGCAGCAATGGCATATAAGGTTTGTATCAGTAAAATAGAAACGTTAGTATTTTTGTTTTACAGTTTCTGATAGTTTCACCAGAGGATGAAATACCCTCATGTATTTATGATGTTTATTTAATACAGTTTTGGTTACAGCAGTCGGTTGTTGGAAATGTAATGACATGTCGGGATACACGAGGCCTGAAGTAGTGAGCAGAGATCTAGGCCGGGAGGGTAGAGAGCTCGCATACAGGGTGAGAGTGTTGCAGTAGAATGCGGGCGGGAACAGACAGCTCGAATGGGGGACGAGAGCGGTAGCTCAAGTGTGGTCGGAATCTGGCTGTCTGCTCTGTGGCGAGGCTGTAGCACCTTGTGAGAGGAAGAACTAGACTCGTCGAGTGTTACATTGTTGCTAGTGAATGTCGATGATATTGGCGATCTGCGGTATTCCTGGAGCGTCTCTACTGAACCACTATTCCAGTTAGACTGATAACGATCTGTTGTTGTTTTAGATTCAGCTACTCGGAACAAAAGTTCCAAGTAGAACTTCTGTGGTGAGCCCGTAGTGGACTTACCTCGCACAGGAGCGGGGCTGTAACTGATGGATAACGATCTCTGAATTGATGGCTTATATTACAAGATTCTCCTAACTTTGCCAATTCGACCAACCTTTTGTAGTTACCTCACAGCATCCTTGGTGATGCACGTACCCTTAGGAAGAGATAGTAATTGTAATTGGTTGAACTTTATTATTGGGTGATTGGTTGATATTAATTTGAAAAGTGAACTTCCTTATGGATAAGTTATATGCAATTAACAGGCACATATAATTATCTGCATTGAAACTAATTAGGATTTGAAGCAAGTATATTACTCTTAATATAATTGCTGCAGAGTGATTGAAAGAGGGAAACAGGATAGAGATGGAGGGAGAGACTGAGAGAACGAGACAAGATAGAGATGGAGGGAGAGACTGAGAGAACGAGACAAGATAGAGATGGAGGGAGAGACTGAGAGAACGAGACAAGATAGAGATGGAGGGAGAGACTGAGAGAACGAGACAAGATAGAGATGGAGGGAGAGAGAGAGAGACAAAGAGACAGACAAACATTCTACACAGAGATGGAACAAGAGTACGGAGGTAAGAGGTTTAACCTGTTACATGCAAGCTCACAGCCTAGACGAACCACAGTTATTATTAAGAACTATGGTGTCCATGCTGATATTGCGTATATTGAGACCACCCGCAGATCATATGGGCCAGGCGCAACAAGGGGCCTGGGGAAGTACCAAAGAACTAAGCAGTTGCTATGTGGGAGGGAGAGCTGACCCCTTTCACTACGATACCAGGTATAAGGCCTTGCAGAATGGAATGGTATATTGGCAGCTCAGCCTTATGTGGCAACTGTCAACGGCGGACCCACAGAACCTGGCAGTGCGTTGGCCGAACTGGGTGTGGGTGTTGCAGTGGCCTCCACGACACTAAACTATATATGCAGAAGATTAGGGATAAGAACCCAGTAATACCCAAATGTGTTAACTGCAGGCAACCCCACCACGCCTGGAACCGGCACTGCGCCTTGAGGCCTGCATGGTGTGGCCGAACAAGAACTACCCCTCAGGTCACAGGCGATCCAGTGACTTTTTTTTTTTTGGGGGGGGGGGGGAAGTAAAGAGGAGAGAAAGGCATAGTTGAAGGAAAGTTTAGAAGTGGGAAATAGAGTGAGAGGTATGAAAGCAGGCGGGCTGTCCGCCTTGCTGACACGATGTGTGGGTGTTGGCAGCTAAGCTAAGCTGGCTCTCTCTTGTCAGGGAGCTGTGAGTGTGTGAGAGGTTCTTCACATGTGTTTCACCATATATGGGATGTCTATAGATGAATACTGTGTGACACTCATATATACACACTCCGATGCTTCCACACATGTTGTTTTGTTCAAGGCTATTTATTAGTGTTATTTATTGATTTATTCATACATGCACATATATATATATATATATATATATATATATATATATATATATATATATATATATATATATATATATATATATATATATATATATATATATATATATATATATATATATATATTAGTATATTTTGGTAGCAGTCTTTCCTGTAGACATATATTATTAAATATGACCGAAAAAGTAAGATTAATAATTCTAACACGAATTTTCTCTATCTTTCGTACATTTCTTTTCACTGTTGGTGGTAATTCAAAAATCAATTCTCCAAAATTCATTTTTATTTCTAGTCTGACGCGACACTTGAGCGCGTTTCGTAAAACTTATTACATTTTCAAAGACTTTACATACACAACTGAATAGAACTTACACATCTCCGATTTGTTTATATCTACATTTGAGTGAGGTGGATGGGGTGAGGTGGCATTAATAGGGTATTAATTTCATCAACACAAGACAGAACAAGAGGTGGTATTAATAGGGTATTAATTTCATCAACACAAGACAGAACACGAAACAATGGGTATTGAATGGAAGTGATTGTAGAAAGCCTATTGGTCCATATTTCTTGATGCTTCTATATTGGAGCGGAGTCTTGAGGTGGGTAGAATATAATTGTGCATTAATTGGCTGTTGATTGCTGGTGTTGACTTTTTAATTTGTAGTGCCTCGCAAACGTCAAGCCGCCTGCTATCGCTGTATCTATCGATGATTTCTGTGTTGTTTACTAGGATTTCTCTGGCGATGGTTTGGTTGTGGGAAGAGATTATATGTTCCTTAATGGAGCCCTGTTGCTTATGCATCGTTAAACGCCTAGAAAGAGATGTTGTTGTCTTGCCTATATATTGAGTTTTTTGGAGCTTACAGTCCCCAAGTGGGCATTTGAAGGCATAGACGACGTTGGTCTCTTTTAAAGCGTTCTGCTTTGTGTCTGGAGAGTTTCTCATGAGTAGGCTGGCCGTTTTTCTGGTTTTATAGTAAATCGTCAGATGTATCCTCTGATTTTTGTCTGTAGAGATAACGTTTCTATTAACAATATCTTTAAGGACCCTTTCCTCCGTTTTATGAGCTGTGGAAAAGAAGTTCCTGTAAAATAGTCTAATAGGGGGTATAGGTCTTGTGTTAGTTGTCTCTTCAGAGGTTGCATGGCGTTTCACTTTCCTTCTTATGATGTCTTCGACGAAACCATTGGAGAAGCCGTTGTTGACTAGGACCTGCCTTACCCTACAGAGTTCTTCGTCGACTTGCTTCCATTCTGAGCTGTGGCTGAGAGCACGGTCGACATATGCGTTAACAACACTCCTTTTGTACGTGTCTGGGCAGTCGCTGTTGGCATTTAGGCACATTCCTATGTTCGTTTCCTTAGTGTAGAGTGCAGTGTGGAAACCTCCGCTCTTTTCCATGACTGTTACATCTAGAAAGGGCAGCTTCCCATCCTTTTCCATCTCGTAAGTGAAACGCAGCACGGAACTCTGCTCAAACGCCTCCTTCAGCTCCTGCAGATGTCTGACATCAGGTACCTGTGTAAAAATGTCGTCAACATACCTGCAGTATATGGCCGGTTTCAAGTTCATGTCGACTAGGACTTTTTGCTCGATGGTACCCATGTAGAAGTTTGCAAACAGGACACCTAGGGGAGAACCCATGGCGACCCCATCTACTTGCTTATACATGTGCCCATCCAGGCTCAAGAAGGGTGCCTCTTTAGTACAAGCTTGGAGTAGTTTCCTTAGAATATTTTCTGGCATGTCAAGAGGAGTACAGGCTTGATCACGATACACTCTGTCGGCTATCATCCCGATTGTCTCGTCCACAGGTACTTTGGTGAACAGTGATTCTACGTCCAACGAGGCTCTTATCCCTGTTGCCCGTGTGCCCCGCAGTAAGTCAACAAATTCCTTTGGAGACTTCAGGCTGAAGGCACAAGGGACATAAGGAGCCAGCAGGCCGTTGAGTCGCTTCGCCAGTCTGTACGTGGGTGTGAGTATCTGGCTAATGATTGGCCGAAGTGGGTTTCCAGGCTTGTGTGTCTTGACATTTCCATACGCATATCCAGGTTTATATTCCCCAATAATCTTTGGCAGGTGGAGTCCGGATTTCTTGGCGTTCACAGTTTCGATCAGTTTGTTGACCTTTGCTTTTAATTCGGCTGTAGTGTCCTTCGTTACCCTTTGGAATTTAGTTTGGTCAGAGAGTATGAGGTTCATTTTCGCCAGATATTCGTCTTTTTTAAGAATGACATATATTGGCGACTTGTCGCCTCTCCTGACAACTATCTCCTTGTTCTCACGAAGGCTTTTAGCTGCAATAATCCTGGTTTCAGTGCTGAGGTGATATCGGTCTGTGAGGATGTCGAGGTGTTGTTCAATGCGGGTACGGAGACTACTTCATGCTACAAACGAATGGAGAAATAGCAACATCGACGAAAGTCTCCGTACCCGCATTGAACAACACCTCGACATCCTCACAGACCGACATCACCTCAGCACTGAAACAAGGATTATCAAGAAACTAACAACATTATATGGAGGACCTATGGCAATTCCACGACCAAGAGATGGCTTCCTGAACCTTGCAGGAATCAACCTCACTGAGGACCAAGTCACTCTCCTAAATCTGGGTATAAACTGTCACGTTATGTCCAGACCAAGTGAGATGGCCCGGAAAGTAGAGTTGGAAATCCTGTTGGACGACATATTCGACCTCGAGACACAAAAGAAGGTCACTACCAAAGACACCTTGCAAGCAGAACTTATTGCGGAAGGAGAAAAGAATCGAGGCAATTACAGAAGCACCATACTGTCCCCCGAGCTCAAAGCGGCAGCTAAAAGCCTTCGTGCAGAGATCAATATATATATATATATATATATATATATATATATATATATATATATATATATATATATATGTCGTACCCATGAGCCAGAACGCACTTCTATGCCTACTATGCAAGGCCCGATTTGCCTAATAATCCAAGTTTTCATGAATTAATTGTTTTTCGACTACCTAACCTACCTAACCTAACCTAACCTAACTTTTTTGGCTACCTAACCTAACCTAACCTAACCT